TTGGGGGGGGTCCGGTTGTGGGGCCTGAACTCTGGGCCTGGGCGCTGTCCCTCAGCTCTTCAGCTCAAAGCTAGTGCTCTACCACTTGAGCCACAGCGCCATTTCCGGCTCTTTTCTTTTTGCTTATGTGGTGCTAAGGAATCGAACCCAGGGCCTCATGCATGCAAGGCAAGCGCTCTACCACTGAGCCACCTTCCCAGCCCGCGCTTTCTTTCTTTCTTTCTTTCGCCAGTTGTGGCCCTGAATTCTGGGCCTGGGTACTGTCCCTCAGTTCCTCAACTCAAGGCTAGTACTCTACCGCTTGAGCCACAGCACCACTTCTGGCTTTTTCTGTTTATGTGGTACTGAAGAATCGAACCCATGCCTCATGCATGCGAGGCAAGCACTCTACCACTGAGCCACCTTCTCCCAGCCACCCCTTTTCTTAAATTGAGTTTATCAAACAAAGAGAAATAAAGTCCACTCAGGAGAGTAAGGAACAGACCCAGAAACCAGAAGCAAACATTTCACCAAAGTCCGTATTTGGCACGAGGGCAATGCAAAGTAAAAGCACAATGAGATATGCCTATCAAAATGGCTAACATTAAAAATGTAATAAACTACATGCTGGCTAGGAGGCAGAGAAACCAGATCATTCTTATATTCCTGGTGGGAATGTAAGATGGTACAATTATACTGGAAATTTGGCAGGTTCTACTTCCTTCCCCCTTGGGCAGTTTCTCTTAGAACTAAACATTCATGGACCATACAACCTAGCAAGTACATCTTGGGCATTTTTCCCAGAACAATGAAAATGTATGTTCACATAAACACCTGTACAGAAATGTTCTAGTAAGTTATATTTGTAACACCCCAAAACTGGAAATAATGCAGACATGACCTTCAAAGAGTAACTTCTAAAACAAATTATGGCTAGGTGCAAATACTCCTAGCTCAGGAGGCTGAGTTCTAGAGGATTGTAGTTAGAAGAAGCCAGCCCAGGCAGAAAAATCTGTGAGACTCTGTCTCCAAAATAATCAGCAAAAAGCAGGGCTGAAGAGGCATGGTAGAATCTCAGCCAAGCAAGCAAGTTGAATGAGCATGAGCCCCTGAGTTCCAGCCCTGGTACCACTAAAAAAACAAGCAAACTGTGGTACATCTATAAAATCATCAATAAAATTAAATAGCTGGGAACTGAGATGTAGCTCAGTGGCAATGCACTTGCCTAAAAAGTGCCAAAATTGCCTAGTACCAAAAAGAAAAGCCCTACCCCCACCAAAAAAAAAATAGTTACAAATAAATAGTTGGTACTGGTGGCTCATGCCTGTAATCTTAGCTACTAAGAAGGCTAAGATCTAAGGATTAAGGTCAAAGCAAGCTTGAGATAAATCTGAGAGACTCTTATCTCCAAATAACCAGCAAAAAGCCAGAAGTGGACGTGTGGCTCAAGAGGTAAAGCCATGCAAAAACATACATAAGGCCCTGAGTTCAAGATTCCAGTACTAGTATCAAAAATAAATCTGGCAGGGACTGGGAAGGTGGTTCAATGGCAGAGCGCTTGCCTTGCATGCATGAGGTCCTGGGTTTGATTCCTCAGCACCACATAAGCAAAATGAAAAAAGCCAGAAGTGGTGCTGTGGCTCAAGTGGTAGAGCACTAGCCTTGAGCTGAAGAGCTGAGGGACAGTGCCCAGGCCCAGAGTTCAGGCCTCACGACCGGACCCCCCACCCCGAAAATATAAATAAATAAATAAATCTGGGCACTGGTAGCTCACACCTGTAATTCTAGTCACTCAGGAAATTGAGATCTAAGAATCACTGTTCCAAGTCAGCTGGGGCAAAAAAGTCCATGAAACTCTTATCTCCAATAAACAACTCAGAAAAAGCCAGAAGCGATATTGTGGCTCAAGTGGTAGAGCACTAGTTTAGAACAAAGGAAGCTCTGAGTTCAAGTTTCAGGACTGATACAAATAATAATAATAATAATAGTGATATGAAAATTAAAGATATAATCTTTGATGTAGGTACTTAGGCCATGTGGATATTAGAGGTCTCTGCTTATCAATAATGATTTTTTACCTTGGTTTTTGTGGTTGTAAAATCGAACTGTAACTCTGCTTCTGCTGCGAACTAAATGTGTCACTCCCATCTTTTGTTCTATTCCCCAAGCTTCCTATCAACAGTCCCTAGGCAGAAGACCCTGGTGGAAATTGTAAACACTTCTGAAGTGACCATTGGCCAAAATGCACAAAGAGCCTAACTGCACAGGCTTAAGTCCTCCCCTCTACCCCTTCCAGACAAGAATGCTTAAAAGCTGATGTAGGCTGGCACTCAGGGCGACCCCTAAGATCCCCACAGTCCTGATGCGACAGCGCTTTGTTCTTTCGCTCAAATAAAACTTTGTGTAACTCACAACTCATCAGTGGTTTTTGGGTCCTGTTGTCTATTGATTCCTGGACAATACAATACTACTACTACTACTAAGCAAATAGACAAAAAACAAAGCCAGGCATTGGTGGCTCCTATCTATAATCCAAGCTACTCAAGAGGCTAAGATTTGTGGATTAAGGTTCAAAGCCAGACCAGGCAGGAAGGAAAGTCCATGAGACTCTGATTTCCAATTAAATATCAAAAATGCTGGAAGTAGAGCTGTGGCTCAAGTGGTAGAGTACTACTTTTTAACAAAAAGACTCAAGGAGAGCGCTCAGGACCTGATTCAAGTTCCAGGACCAATACCCCCTCAAAAAATTTATTAGTTAAAAAATAGTTTAGCTGGGCATCAGCGGCTCACACCTGTAATCCTGGCTACTCAGGAGACTGAGATCTGAGAATCCCAGTTCAAAGCCAGCCCAGGCAAGAAAGTCTGTGAGACTCTTATCTTCAATAAACCAGAAGTGGCACTGTGGCTCAAGTGGTAGAGCTCTAGCCTTGAGCTGAAGAGCTGTGGGACAATGCCCAGGCCGAGAGTTCAAGCCCCACAACTGACAAAAAATAAAAATAAAAATCCAGGGAGTTACGCTGAATTAAAAAAACCAACACCAAAACAGTTCCCAAAGGTTATATACCATATGATGACACTAGAGTCTTGTTCAAATGATGTAATTTTGGAATTGGTAGAGCAGTTATCAGGGGACAAGAAAGGGGATAGACTTAGGGACTTAGACTTTAGGACTTTGCATGTCAGTGAAATTTCTGATTAAAAAACAACAAAAGCTGGGCACAAGTGGCTCAGGCCTATAATCCTAGCTACTCAGGAGGCTGAGATCTGAGGATCAAAGTTCAAAGCCAGCCTGGGCAGGAAAGTCTGTGAGACTCTTATCCAATTAACCACCAGAAAATCGGAAGTGGCAATTGTGGCTCAAGTGGTTGAGTGCTCGGGGTGGAGTCCTGGGGCTCAGATTCAGGGCTTGGGAACTGTCCCTGAGCTGCTTTTGCTCAAGGCTAGTACTCTGTTACTTGAGCCACAGTGCCACTTCCGGCTTTTCTGTTTATGTGGTTCTAAAGAATTGAACCCAGGGCTTCATGCATGCTAGGCAAGCACTCTACTACTAAGCCACATCCCCAACCTGTTTTTGTTTTTTTGTCAGTTATAGGGCTTGAACTCAGGGCCTAGGCGCCATCCCTGAGCTCTTTTGCTCAAGGCCAATGCTCTACCACTTTGAGCTATAGGCCCACTTCTGGGTTTTGAGTGGCTAATTGAAGATCAGAGTTTCACAGTCTTTTCTGCCTGGGTTGGGTTGGAACTGCGATCCTTAGATCTCAGCCTCTCCTAAATAGCTAGAATTACATTGTGAGCCACCTATACATGGCTCTATATTCTGTTTTTTATTATATATCTCAGGCACTTAGATGCGTACCAGGCACAGTCTCCATTTTAAACATTTTTCAGACTGTTTCTTCTTGTGTGACCTTGGTGGATTGTATCTTTCAGGAAATGATCTCTTTCATATTGGTTATCCATTTCATATTGTTATTTACAATACTCATAGTATTCTGTAGTATTCATATCCTTCTCTCTCTCCTTTATTCCTTTTTTTTGGCAGTACTGGATTTGAACTTAGGGTAATGGGAATCTGCAATCCCCAAAATATGAAAGTCCATGCCCCTTCCCTGTTAACAACACTTCAGGCCAAGATCACAAAGCAAAGCCCATCCAAAAATACTTTTCGTACTTTCCAGCCACCAGGACCCTACCTGTCAACCCTGCCCCCAGCACGTCTCTGTCTCTTGACTCCCTTCAAGTTACCATGGCATCCCTCTTCAACTTCCCATTAAAGTTGATCTGGTCTGTTGAGGTCGTTTTCTGCTCTTTCTTTATTCTTTGTTTTTTGGTCAGTAGTGGGGCTTGACCTCGCCTGGGCACTATCCCTGAGCTCTTCTGCTCAAGGCAAGTGCTCTACCACTTCTGGTTTTCTGAATGGTTTATTGGAGATAATATTAGAGATAAGAGTCTCACAAGCCTTCCTGCCCTGGCTGGCTTTGTTTCCTAACATATGGTGCCAAATCCCAGGAGTTGCCAGACACGGATGGCTCATATCTGTAATCCTAGCTACTCTGGAGGCTGAGATCTGAGGATTGCAGTTCAGAGCCAGCTCAGGCACGACCGTCCACAAGACTCTTATCTCCAATTAACCACCAGAAAACCGGAAGTGGCACTGTGGCTCAAGTGGTGAGAGAAGAAACAAAACAAACAACAACAACAACAACAACAAAACCCTGGGAGTTCCCCAGAGGACTTCTGCCTAGAAGGGGACTCCATCTATTTCTTCTCCCGTTCTTTCTCTTCTCTTTTCCCTTTCTGAAACAGTGGCTTTCAGAGAGCCAGTCAGTCGCTCAAGCCTACTTAAAAAAAGGGGTGTGGAAGCCAATCCTTTCCACTCCAGAAGACTCCACCCTCACCTGGTCATGGCTTTGGTTACTTAAGCCTAAGTAGGTGAGGCAAGATCTTGACATAGGTCTGGATTGATAAACTCTGTTGTTAGTCCACTGTCACCTAATCTCTCTCTCTCTTCCCTCCTCTCTCCTTCCCCTCCTCTCTCCCTCTCCCCTCTCGCCACTCCTCTCCTCCCTTTTCTACCCTCCTTCTCCCTCTCCCTTTCCCTCTCTCTACCTCCAGACCAGAGATCATTCACCATTGCATCACCTATACGCAACCGACCAGTCATAAGCACCTCCCTTTGGGTGTTGTGAGGTAGGTACTCTACTGCTGAACCATGTTTCTAGCCCTGTTTTTTGCATAGGTGAATTTTTAAATTTTAATATAGCTTGCTTAACCTCATATATCCAAAATCAATATGTGATCAATATGAAAATGTTGAAATATTTTATATTTTTTAAACTTTTTATTGTGTGTGTGTGTGTGTGTGTGTACTAGAACTTGAACTCAGGGGCCTGGGCACTATGCCCCACAAAGTAACACAAATCCAACAATGACTTGGTTTATAGATGGAGAAACTGAGGAGGGAGTGATTTTTCTCAAGGTCACACAGGGACCTTAGACATGGAAGACAGCCAAGAGTATATCTCAAAGCCCATCTCTAATTCTATACCTAAGTCATACCAGCCTCTCCCAGCCCATCTCGGGGAGGATCTTTACCTGGCTGTTGATGCTATTGTTGTCTCCAAACACTAGGAGGCCCCCAACAAAGGCAGCTAGGAAAGAGTGCACGGGGTAGGTCTTGCCTTGCACATGGGACTGCAGGGCACACAGACTCTTATAGGCGCACACAAAGCAGGCCAGGTTCCGGGAGTGGGTGTAGGTGGACTGCAGGATGGTCCTCAGCTTCTCCTGGAGGCTGCACAAACACAGAAATCCCCCTGTGAGTTCAGGGCCAGTGGTCCCAAGGCCTTTGCCCACTAGATATGAACTGAATAAAGCAAGGCGCTCCGGGGGCCCAAGCTCATTCAACCCTAGGCTTCTACCATTCATGTCCTTCAGGAACTGACTCAAGACAATCCTCAAAAAGCCATTCCCTGACAGCTCCATACCATACCCCCCCCCCCTTCTCCTACTTGGCCCTTTCTTTTTGTTCTTACCACCACTTGACACTAAAGGGCTTGTTTATGACTCTCCCCTGCCCCTGCCCAGCCCAGTTGAAAAGTAGAGTCTAGAGACTACTTTTTGTGGCTGTTTGATCCTAAGGACCAGACAGTACTAGCATTTATTACTTCATTTTTGGAGTGATCATGTGAAGAAACGAATGAGTTCCTATTATGTGCTGGATCTGGAAATCTGATGCTGAGAAACAGACCTGCTTGCTGACCTCATGGGACTTTTGAGAGGGAAACACCACCACAAAGACAAGCCATACACTGACTTTTGACAAGAAATTCTGGGGCCCAGGGTGGGATCAATGAAGTGAACAGGCAGGGTGATTACATCCCAGGCATGAGCCAAAGCCCTAAGAAGGGGCAGAAAGTAGAGAACAAAGGAACAGGGAGAGGCCATTGGGCTATGAGCAGAGAAGTTGTGGAGAGAGGATATGGGGCAGTACGAGGTAGTGGGGTAATTTTGTCTTCCTGTCAGGATTGAAGGGAGGTGATTCAATGTATTTTTTAGAATCATTAGAGGGCAGTGAAGAAAAAGCAGGGAGGAACAGGAATGGCACAAGTAAATGCTCCAAGGGCTTAGGAAGGAAGCTATAAAAACCTGTGAGGTTGGGCTGGGAAGGTGGCTCAGTGGGAGAGCGCTTGCCTTGCATGCCTGAGGCCCTGGGTTCGATTCCTCAGCACCACATAAGCAAAAAGAAAAAAGCCGGAAGTGGCGCTGTGGCTCAAATGGTAGAGTGCTAGCCTTGAGCTGAAGAGCTGAGGGACAGCGCTCAGGCCCAGAGTTCAGGCCCCATGACTGGAACCAAAAACAAAACAACAACAACAAAAAACTGTGAGGTTGGCTAGGTGCCAGTGGCCCATACCTGTAATCCTAGCTACTGAGAATGGAGGTTCAAAGCCAGCCCAGGTAGGGAAGTCCATGAGACCCTTATTACCAATTAATCACCAAAAAAGCCAGAACTAGAGTTGTGGCTCACGTGGTAGAGCACTAGCCCTAACCACAAAGCTCAGGGACAGTACTCAGGTCCTGAGTTCAGGCCCCAGGGCTGGCATGTACACATAAAACAAACCCTGCAAAGTGAATGTTATTATCCAGTACCAGCAGGCTCCCACCCCATAGGCACATGGCCCACAAGATTGCCAGTTGTTGTTTTTGTTGTGTGTGTGTGTGTATCAGTCCTGAGGCTCAATGGTTTGGCTTTCCCAATAAACTCTTTTCTACCTGAACCATATGCCAGTCTCCTTTCAGTGACTACTGAGTAGCTAGGATTACAGGTGTAAGCAACCAGCACCTGGCCCGATTGTCAGTTTTAAGGTCAGAAAGCAGTAGTGCAGCAGAGCACGGTGGTGCACTCCTGTAATCCTAGTACTTAGGAGGCTAAAACAGGAGAATAAAGATTTGGGACCAGGCTACACAGTAAGAGCCTGTCCCAAACAAAAAGCTAGTTTTTCCTGAGGAATCTTCCAGTATCTAAGTATTACTGATCCTGCTTTTGATACTGCCCTCCTCCCCTGCCCGGCCAGCATTGCACTTGGGCCTCCATGTGGCTAACTGGGGTCATTGCCGCGGTAGCCTAATGGCCTAATGTCTACCTACTTCTGCCCTGGCGGTGTTCCCAGCCCCGAAGTAAATGACTAATCCTCACGCTGTTGAAACAGGTCAAAGAAGCCAGGCCCAGTGCTGCAAGCCTGTTGTTCCAGCTGCTCAGGAGGCTGAGTCAAGAGGATCATTGGAGCCCATGAGTGTCAGACCAGCTCAGCAATATAGCAAGACCCTAACATAAGACTTAAATCTAAGCCAAACCTAAACACTTAAGGGTTTTAAGTCAAATAATGGCATAGTCCCACTCAAAATCTTGTATCAATCCTAGTTTACTTACAGAAAAGCCAAACTTCTCTCTTTAAAGCTGGAAAAGTGGGCTGGGAAGGTGGCTCAGTGGTAGAGCGCTTGCCTTGCATGCTCAAGGCCCTGGGTTCGATTCCTCAGCACCACATAAGCAAAAAGAAAAAAAGCCGGAAGTGGCGCTGTGGCTCAAGTGGTAGAGCACTAGCCTTGAGCTGAAGAGCTGAGGGACAGTGCCCAGGCCCAGAGTTCAGGCCCCACGACCGGACCCAAAAAAATAAAAAAATAAAAATAAAGCTGGAAAAGCCTGTCCCAGATTACTGCTGTGAACCACCCCCGCTCCCTTTCCCCCCCACTTTTTATGGTCTCCTTTCTTTGAACCACTCTGCTCCAAGGCTCCTGGTATCTCAGGCACGATCTGCCTCAGGGCCTTTGAACTGGCTGATTTAGCATCCAGGAACACTCTTTCCCCTGGTAAGTACTAACCAACTCTTATCGCCTTCAAAGGTTTTCTCTAATGTCACTTCCTCACAGAGGCCTCCCTTATTCAGTTCTGTAGGGTGGGCCACTTCCTCTAGCACCTCCAATCTTCTCTCATTTTTCCTCTGTTCCAATTTTTCTTTTTTTTGGTCCGGTCGTGGGGCCTGAACTCTGGGCCTGGGCACTGTCCCTCAGCTCTTCAGCTCAAGGCTAACACTCTACCACTTGAGTCACAGTGCCACTTCCGGCTTTTTTTCTTTTTGCTTATGTGGTGCTGAGGAATCGAACCCAGGGCCTCATGCATGCAAGGCAAGCGCTCTACCACTGAGCCACCTTCCCAGCCCTGTTCCAATTTTTCTTGTCCACAGCCTATGATTATCTTTTAACATAGCATCTACTGGCCTTATTCATTGTGTTTATTTTCTGCCACCCCCTGCTAGAAGGTAAGCTGTAGGAGGGAGGGGATCTTTGTCTAGTTTCTTCACTCTGTATTAGTAGCACCTAGTGTCCTAGTGTAAGTCAGCAAACGCCCCTTCACGGGCCCAGCTACTGGCTAAGTCTCTAAATATCTCCTGGTCTTTTCACATTCCCTATGGCCCCCAGTCCTTGGGAAGGGTGGAACGTGCCAAACACTCCCTTAAACAAACTGACCAAATGTTCCCATAAAACTTTTATCTTTAGCTCTTTTCTGCTTAAGGGTCTTGCCAAAAAAGTCTCTAACATTAAGTCCTTTCAAAGTTATGGCCGCCCACCTTTGCCTCCCCTATTTCAGACTTCGGACTCCCCTTTGCCACCCCCCAACCCCCCCCCCGCCCCGCAATGCTGTCCTCTCTCCTTCAACACCTGTGTACTTTCCTCTGGAAATATGTGGGCCAATATGACCTTAAGCCCTCCACATTGCCCTCCAGGGCCTCCATCAATGCTGGGGATCTAGTGTAAATTACCTGCCACCAGTACCTGGGGCCACCAAGCTCTCTGCTAAGTGGGAGGGACTCTATTCAGTAACTCTCTCTACTCCCACAGCCGTGCAGGTTCAGGGCTGTCCACACTGGATTCACATCCGCTACGTTAAACATCATGCGCCTGATGGACCCTCATATATCTCTGAGCCAACTGGACCCCTCGCTCTACAGATATAAAAGACCAGACCTGGTCTTCCTCCAGTCACCGAGGAACCAGAGGGCCCTGCCAAGGACAAGTAAAATCCCCATGACCATCAAGACCTTGCTCAGCTTTCTATATAGTACCTGACTCTCCCCCCATTGGCTACATTGCCCCTCTCAGCAGAAAGTAGCTCCAGAAGAGAAGAACTTTGCCCATACTCCCTACCTGCTACTGTGCATATTTAACCAAAAAGGGGGGAAATGTAAGTCATCAAAGACCCCTTCACAGGCGTAAGTCCTGCACTCGATGGCAGAGCCTATGGGGCAGGTGAGGCATCTCCCACCCCCTGCCTGGGTAAAACACCACCAGCCCCCCGCTGAATAAAAGGGGCCACCAAGGAGCCAAACGGCGCCATTTTCTTCCTTTCCTCATGAGACCTTGGCCTGGTCACCTCTACATGACCTTGTCGGCACGGTCTTTTGGGTTACTTTCTGCCTGAGTTACATTTTCCTTTCACCTAGAATCAGGTTTGGCACATGATAAGTCCCCAATAAATATCTGATGAATAAATGGATGGATTTAGGTGGGTTTTTTTTGTTTTTAGTTTTGGGGTTTTTTTGAGGTCAGTCCTGAGGCTTAAACTCATAGTCTAGGTACAGTCTCTGAGCTTTTTTGCTCAAGGCTAGCACTCTATCACTTGAGCCAGAGCTCCACTTTCAGCCTTTTTTTTTTTTTTTGCTAGTTAATTATAGAGAAAAGTCTTATGGGTTCCTGTCTGAACTGGTTTCAAACCAAGATCCTCAGATTTCGGCCTCCACTGGTGAGCCACTGGTGCCCAGCTAGATTTGGTTTTTAAGTAAGTCTCAGAAGAGATTCAGATTTTTTTTTGTTGGTCATGGGGCTTGAACTCTGGGCCTGGGCACTGTCCCTCAGCTCTTCAGCTCAAGGCGAGCGCTCTACCACTTGAGCCACAGCGCCACTTCCGGTTTTCTGGTGGTTTATTGGAGATAGGAGTCTCACGGTCTCTCTTGCCCAGGCTGGCTTTGAACCGTGATCCTCAGATCTCAGCCTCCTGAGTAGCTAGGATTACAGGCGTGAGCCACCAGTGCCCGGCTTCACTTTTTTTTTTTTTTAAGATTCAGATTCTAACCTTAGAAAAAGATTTGTGGCCAAAAGCAACAACAAACAAAACTAAATCAATCAATTAAAAATACAAAGGAAAGCCAGGCATGCTAGTGGCTTATGCCTGTAATCTTAGCTACTCTGGAGACTGAGATCTATCTAATGATCATGGTTCAAAGACAGTTTGGGCAGGAAAGTCTGTGAGGCTCTCTTTTTTTTTTTGGGGGGGGGGTCCAGTTGTGGGGCCTGTACTCTGGGCCTGGGCGCTGTCCCTCAGCTCTTCAGCTCAAGGCTAGCACTCTACCACTTGAGGCTTTTTTCTTTTTGCTTATGTGGTGTTGAGGAATCGAACCCAGGGCCTCAGGCGTGCAAGGCAAGTGCTCTACCACTGAGCCACCTTCCCAGCCCCTCTGTGAGACTCTTAACTCCAAATTAACCATCAGAAAGCTGAAAGTAGAGCTGTGGCTCAAAGTGGTAGAGCGCTAGCCTTGAGTGAAAAAGCTCAGTCAGCGCCCAGGTCTTGAGTTCAAAGCCCCATGACAAAAAATTAAAAACAAAAGCCAAACAAAGGAGGAAGTTCTACAAGTTGAACTTGGCCCATAGGCTGTGCGTCTGTGACCCTATTAGTTCAGGTGAGCTAGAGGATCTTGTATGCATCAACACTGGATCATAGACACCTTCTGAGAAGGCGCCTGAGGAAAGGCGATGGGAGATCAGAGTAAGCCCAAGATGGCTGAGAGGAGAGAACCAAGACAGCTTTCCCGAGGAGGGGACCCCCATAGCACACAGGGGCTGGGGAGGGGACCAGGAAGGAAGCAGAGGTGGCTAGAGGAGGAATGCGGTTTCCAGGAGGGGTGCTGTGTGCGTGTTTCTTGCATGCAGCATGTACACAGAATGGAGATGAACTCTGCGTGTCAAGGACCTCCCACAGTGGACGGAGGGCAGGCAGAGCAGAGCTGGGGCAGCTGCACAAACCCTTAAAGCCACATCTAGACGTTGGGCTTTTGAGGAAGACAGAGGGGAACTTGAGGACCCAAGGTGGACTTTAGAAGGTGTGACTGGGGACAGGCGAGACCTAGCTAGGAAGCGACTTACTACCATCCTGGCACTAAGGGCAGGCACATCGTCTCCCCGCTTAAGCTGTATGCAGACCGGTGCTCACCTGCCACTCTTGAAGAGAAGTGTCATGACCAGTGCGTGAGGAGCCCGGATTTTGACTCCATAGCTGTAGAAAGAGAAGGGCATGGTTAAGATGGCATTACTGTGTTGCTTTCTTTCTAGACTCTCCTTCTGATCTCTTGTCCTCACTCCCCACTTCTCATCCAAATACCACATTGGGAGGAGAAATAATGATGGCTCCCAGTTAGATCTGGATTCAAACCTCAGCTCTTCCTGGAAGTGTGGCCTCGGGCTCGGGCTTGTCATTTCACTTCATTAAGCCTCAGTTTCTTTCCCCAACCACAAAAAGGGATGCTAAACTTTAGAGGAGTGGTTACAAGTCTTTTCTTGAACTCAGGGCCTCAAGCTCTTGATTGGTGTTATTGCTCAAGGCTGGCACTCTACCACTGGAGCCACAGCTCTACTTCTGGCTTTTTGCTGGTCAATTGGAGATAAGAGTCTCATGAACTTTTTGCCCTGACCGGCTTCAAACCACAATCCTCAAATCTTAGTCTCCTGAGTACCTAGGGAGCCACCAGTGCTCAGTCCCTAGTTACGATTCGGATGGACTCTAACTAGGCACTATGCCCCTCCAATCCTGCTCCAGCCATGATGGTCTCCTTACAGTTCCTGTTTCATCAGGCTCTCTGTCTCCAGGTCTTTATACAGTCTGTTCCTTCTTTGGGCCTGGAATGCTCTTCACACGCTTCACCAATTACCTTCCAGTGGTGACTAGGGCCTCTGCAAAGGCTTCCTGAGCCCCTAAATTTTTAATTTGTTCAGAATTTCAATAGGTTATACAAGGGGTTTCTACTGAACAGCTCCATCTAAATGTGCGATGCTTACTGCTGAGTCACTCCTCTCATGCTCCCCATCCCTACCCCCAGACTCATTTAAACTTTGCTTTTTTTTTGCCAGTCCTGGGGCTTGAATTCAGGGCCTGGGCACTGTCCCGAACTTCTTCTGCTCAGGCTAGCACTCTACCACTTGAGTCACAGTCCCATTTCTGGCTTATTCTGTTTATGTGGTACTGAGGAATCAAAACTAGGGCTTCATGCATGCTAGGCAAGCACTCTACCACTAAGCCACACTACCAGCTTACCTTTCCCATTTCTTTTTTTTTGGGGGGGGGGGTCCGGTCGTGGGGCCTGAACTCTGGGCCTGGGCACTGTCCCTTAGCTCTTCAGCTCAAGGCTAGCGCCCTACCACTTGAGCCACAGTATCACTTCCAGCTTTTTTCTGCTTATGTGGTGCTGAGAAATCAAACCCAGAGCCTCATGCATGTGAGGCAAGCACTCTACCACTGAGCCACCTTCCCAGCCCCATACAGAGAGGTTTCAGCCCTGTGTCAGGTTATGAGTACAACATATCTTGATCAATATCACCACTTCTGTGGTTCACCCCCATTACTTCTCCTCAATCTCACTTCTAATCATTGCTGCTGCTCTTCTTCTTTCTTTTTTTTTTTTTTTTGGTTGGTCATGGGGCTTCAACTCAGGGCCTGGGTGCTGGCTGTCCTGAGCTCTTTTGCTCAAAGCTAGTTTGTGTTCTACCACTTTGAGCCACAGTGCCACCTAGGATTTTACAGGTATAGGCCACCAGCACCTGGCATAATTGCTTATTTTTAAGATTCAAACTCTTCACCCAGATTCTCCTTTGACTGCTTATTTATGCACTGGTACTATGAGAAAAAGACCATGATCACTTTCATTGTTTTTTCTATACTCAAATGGGTAATAAAAAGAAAATGGTATTGATGCCAATCCACTACTGTGTTTTTTTGTGGGTTTTTTTTTGCCAGTAGTGGGGCTTGAACTCTGGGCCTGGGCGCTGTCCCTCAGCTCTTTAGCCTAAAGCTAGCTAGCACTTTACCACTTGAGCCGTAGCACCACTTTTGGCTTTTTCTGCTTATGTGGTTCTGAGGAATCAAAGCCAGGGCCTCATGCATGCAAGGCAAGCGCTCTACCACTGAGCCAACTTCCCAGTCCTCCACTACTGTGTTTTGCTGTGTACACTTGGATAAATCATGTAACATCTCGGAGCCTCCCTTCAACCCAGCAATAAAAGGTATTTTCTATTTCAGAGCTGCTGACAATCAAGAAAAAGGATCGTTTCTCATTCTTCTTGATTGAACACCCTGACTCTTATTCCTAACCAAGTCCTGCAGCTACCTGACCCTGCTCTTACTTGACCTAACGATCCTCAACAGCCTCTTTCAAGACAGTGGTCATGAGCCATATACTGTTCTCTCCTAAACAAGCATGTTTTGAGGTGTTTTTTTTTTTTTTTGGCTGGTCGTGGGTCTTGAACTCAGGGCCTGGGCGCTGTCCCTCAGCTCTTCAGCTCAAGGCTAGAGTTCTACCACTTGAGCCACAGCGCCACTTCCAGCTTTTTTCTTTTTGCTTATGTGGTGCTGAGGAATCGAACCCAGGGCCTCATGCATGCAAGGCAAGCGCTCTACCACTGAGCCACCTACCCAGCCCTTACAAGCATGTTTTGAAACAACAAATGACTACAATCAAACTCAAGTCCATATGTCGGGGCTACTGGGTAAAAATCAGTGAGTGACCCCACCATTCAATGGTAGACTACAGAGCTATAAAAAATAGGGCAGCTACTGGGGCTGGAGCTAGAGGAGATTGCCTGACATAGATGAGATTCTGGGTTCCATCCCCAGCACAGGAAAAAGAATAGGGAATGGAAGAGAAAAAGAGAGATGGAAGCCAGGTGCCGGTGCTCATGCCGGAAATGCTAGCTACTAGGGAGGATAAGATCTAAGGATCATGGTTCAAAGCCAGCCTGGGCAGGAAAGTCCATGAGACTCTTATCTCTGCTGAACCACCAGAAAACCAGAAGCGGTACTGTGGCTTAAAGTAGTAAAGCACTGGCCTTGAGCATAAAAGCTCTGGGACAATGCCCAGGCCCTGAGTTCAAATCCTATAATGAACCAAAAAAAAAAAAAAGGTGGGGGGAGGAGGAAGGAGGGAGGGGGAGGGAAGGGGAAAGAGAAGGAAGAGGAAAAAAAAGAGATGAGATTTCAGGTACTGGTGGCTCATGCCTGTAATACCAGCTACTCAGGAGGCTGAGATCTGAGGATCGTGGTTAGAAGCCAGCCCAAGAAGGAAGTCTATAAGATTCTTATCTCTGTGGGAATGTATACTAATACAACCACTTTGGAAAGCAGTCTGGAGGTACCTTGAAAAGCTAAATATAGACCTCCCCTATGACCCAGCCATACCATTCCTAGGCATCTACCCTGAACCACAGGAACCAGGATACAAGCACACATGCACCTCCATGTTCATTGCAGCACCATTCGCAATAGCCAAGATTATATATTATATATATATATATATATATATATATATATATATATGTCCAACTACTGATGAGTGGATCCAAAAATTGTGGTACCTATATACAATGGAATATTATGCAGCCAGTAGAAAGGACAAAATAATGGCATTTGCAGGGAAATGGATGGAAGTAGAGCAAATTATTTTGAGTGAGGTAAGCCAAGACAAAGAGACACATGGTCTCCCTGAAATGTGGATGCTAAATAAACAGGACTCGAGAAACAAAGTACAGCCACTCATGTTGTCATATCATTACTAAATGACTCCATGTTCTTAACCATATATATGGTAGATATATGCACACAACGGAGGAAAGACAGGAGGAAGACACAGAATAAGTGGGAAATGGAACAACATTCTACAAAGGGGCCCATCAGCTGCACGGGACATAGAAGAAAAAGAACTAAGCAACCCAAAGACAGCGATGGGAAGGGAGGAATGAGAGGGAAAGAGGGAACAGCCTACACTAAGCAAAAGGAAAGAAATGTAAACATCACCTGGTAAGGAAAAAATAACTTGCATTGTCAAAGCTCATAGAATTCACAAACTGTATAGACCATGATAATGACAATGTGCCTTGTGAAGGTTAAAATGTGTTTGTGACTTTAAGTATCACTATTCCACAATACTGTGAAATATGTGAAATTTATGTAATTACCTAATCTCAATTTTTATTTTATTTATTTATTTACTTTTGGGTCCGGTCGTGGGGCCTGAACTCTGGGTCTGGGCTCTGTCCCTCAGCTCTTCAGCTCAAGGCTAGCGCTCTACCACTTGAGCCACAGTGCCACTTCCAGCTTTTCTTTTTTCTTATGTGGTGCTGAGGAATCGAACCCAGGGCCTCAGGCATGCAAGGCAAGCGCTCTACCACTGAGCCACCTTCCCAGCCCCCTAATCTCAATTTTTAAAAAAGTGAGAAAAGGGGTGGGTTAGGAGTGATGGGTGACAATGTTGTCAGACACTTGTATTCATACTGTTTTGTAGAATGGGAACTTCTTTGTACAACTACTTAAAAGATAATAATAGGATTCTTATCTCCAATTAGTCACCAGAAAACCAGAAGTGGAGCTGTGGCTCAAAGTGGTAGAGTGGTAGCCTTGAGTTTGAAAGCTCAGAGAAAGTACCCAGGCACTGAGTTCAAACCCTAGGACTGACAAAGCGGGGGGAGGCAGGGAGGGGGGAGAGAGAGAAAGAGAGGAGCAAAAGAGAGAAGCAAAGAGGAAAGAGAAAGAAGAAAAGAGAAGAAAGGAGAGAAGAGAAGGAAGAACAGAGAAGAGAGGAGAGGAGGAGAGAGAACAATGAAGCAGCTTTATGTACACTGTTATGGAAAGTCTGATTCGCTTGAGCATCTGTGCATTACCACAAAAATGTGCAAAGTAAGGAAATTCTCCCATGAATCAAAAAGACTAAAGATTGTGGGGGGAGGGGGAGAATGGATATACTGGAATATTTACACAACTATTCTGGAGGAAGACATCAGAGACTGGACATAATAGGCCTACCTCAATGGAAGAGGACTAGATGGCAGAGCACATTTTAGCACCAAACATTCTGTTACTTTGTGGGAGCTGAGGATTGAACCCAAGGCCCTGTGCATGCTAGGCATGTTTTGTTCAGAGCTGTAGTACAGCTTGACTTGTGCCAGGCCCTGAATTCAAACGACAGTGTTACCAACACAAAAATAAAAACAAAACCTTAGTGTTAGGGTTGT